GTAGATATGGGGAGTTTGTATTAAGTTTATATTTGGCATTGTGGAACTTTTACTGGAACGCTCAGTGTTGCTATCAGCAGTTAAAAAGGGATGCTAAAAAACTGGGAACAGCAGTTACTGTAAAAAAGTTGTAAATTCCATTCAGATGAGAAATGAAGCACTTTTTAGACTGACATGAGACCAGCAAGGGTTATGTCCTCTGCTAGGAATATTGAAACCAGCATTCAGTTGCTTCCCTAAAGGATGTCTTGCTGCCCAAGCAGGAGCTGTCTTGGAGAGCACCCCTAGCCTCCACTTCTGTGAAGGTCATGCTGTGTTTTGAATGATCTATCCTTGTTTGGTGTGCACGTAGGGGGCAGCATGGTCATGTGTATAGGATGGGCTAGGGAGCTCTGGAGTTGTTCTTTTAGCTCTGCCATGCAATGTGTAGTGCCAGAAAAGTGATCCAACGTTATTTTCTTCTCCCCTTATTCTAAAAAGTAAAATGAGTGCATTTGTTTCTGTCTGCTTGTGGAGATCCAGTCTAAGCACCTTCCAAAAGCCCCATAGGCTGGTAAGGTGAAAAGATTTGGGAGACCCAGGAATCTCTTAAGTTGTTCCTGCAGCAAACAATGAGGTGGAATTGTTACCCTCAGATTTTAACAATGCCTAATTTTAAACTGGGTGCTAGAAAAAGAAAGGTGCAGGGCTGCCTGGAACAGTAGTCCTGTCCACAGACCTGGAATGCCTTTTAAGCTGCATCCACGTTGAGGCAGCAAACAGGAGCTATCAATCTTTTTGTCAGTAGAGTTCCCAGTGGAATGTGGCAGGCAGAGTCACTTTCTTGGATTCAGGAGGATACAGCAGATGATGGGGCAGAAGGTTATTGAAAGCTCAGTTGACTAAGTCAGGACCAGTGCTTGGGGCTCCTGGGAAGACACCACATGTGAACATTTGATCATCTGAGAGTTTTTACACCATCCTGAACACGTGTGATCATTTGAGGCAACTGCTGCCCAGAGACTTCAACCTGTTCATAAATTCCTTGTTGGTTCCTTGATGCCAGTCAAATACTGGTGGTCAAAGTCTCTTCACTTAATCCTAAAGGAAAGGAGGAAGGCAGTGACATCAGAAAACCTACATGGTTTTGAACCTGCGTTTTTTAACTGTCAGCACTGACACTGTTGGACTGGGTGGTGTTTTGGTTCTCCATGTGACAGTGTTTCTGATGATACACCTCTGTGCTTCTGCGAGGACTTGCAGAACAGCTAGCTTAGATCTCTGCAGCTTGCATCTCTCTGCTGGCTTTAAGTAGTTCCCCATGTCTTCTGGTATGATTCCTTTGCTTCTGGGATTGGCATCACACATCGTTATCACTGGTACTCTCCCGTGCCAGTTTTAGCCAGTAGACAAAGGTCTTTCTTCAGATGCCAGAGTCTTAGTGGAAGAATAAACAAGACCCTGTGTACTGCTATGGCCATGTCCATGGGGCTCCTGGGTGCTCTCCTGAGGCAGTGCTGAAGTTGTCATGCTGATTGTTGCATTAGGAAGTTTCCGTTGCCTCTGAGCAGGTGCAGCAATGTGGTATAGGACTGATAATCGGACTTTTTTGAATAAACATGAGTGGTGTTGCAGACCAGACCAAAGAGGAGAAAGAAAATTAAATACTGCTTAAGGGCTTGGTATGTCCCTCTCCATGGAGCACTGTTAAAAGGCTGTGGGCTGAAGCTGTGAGCTCATTGGGTGCTCCCAGGTGTTCTCCAGCCAGCTACACTGGCTGCTTAGGCCAGAAATGGGGTGGTTTGGGCAGGTTTTAACCATTGTCTGTGTTTAGAAGTGCTTCCTAGGAAGCCATCACAGGAGGAGAGAGGCCCTTTCTTTCATTGCCTCTGAGTTACACCATTCTGCCAGTACCAACTGCTTGCAAAGAAAATGGTGTAACAGTTGGGAGTGTGCTGGAGGCAGCACAAAGCCCAGTGGCTCAGGCTTTTATTTGAGACTCTGGAGTCTCTGTGGAACCTGAAAGAAAACGGGCATGCAGTGGGTGGTTTGATGATAGGTACTGAGATACTGGAGATACCAGAGTGATAGAAGGAAGGCTATATTACTTCAACAATGAGCTTTTCTCAAATCACTGCAACAGAGTTCAGCTTTTTTAGTAAATAGCATAAAGCTTATAGAAATTTAAGTGAAATGAAAAACTGGTGACCATTGCTGCTCCAAGGTGTTGCTTTCTAAGTAGCATTTTGCATATTTTTGAAATACTTTACCATCTGGATGAGTCCAAGCAGGTTTATTTCCAAAACTAGATGAGGTACCTGCCAGTTCTGGTCACAGAGTGCACTGGGAGGTGCTTATTGAAAGGGGACACTTCTGAGATGGACGGTTTGAAGCTCTGCCATCACCAAGCATAAATCAAATCACAAGTTTCTCTTCATGATAACCTGGAATACTGTTTGAAGTGCATGTTCTCCTTTTTCGTCTCATTTAATACATGAGCAGAGACACAACCTGGGAAGGTGTGTTTTTTTGTTGTTGTTTTTTCCCCCCCCCCCACCTGTGTCCCTCCTGCTGTGGCAAAGCACCAGAGCTGTCGTGGAAGATCTGTTCATGCATCTGCAGTGGAATTAAGCATGACTTGCAATCGGCACTAAATGAGTGGATGAAGCTGTGGAAGCCTGCTCTGCTTGACTGACAGTATGCTTGTGATAATGGCCTTACAGAGAATTTGATAGAAGGTCATGGCATCATCACCTGAAGGTTGGAACCTCTGTGGTGAATGACTGCACAGCTTGTTTGGTTACATCTCATCAATATTGAGTGGTACCCAAAAACGTAATTCAGAAGGAAGACTGCAGCAGCTATTTTCTACCTCAAGTAAAGGACAAAGTACTAGAGAGGACTGCAGTAGGTATCTTACTGCTTGTCTTTCCAGGTGTAAAGACAGGATTTACCCTGCGTTTTTGTAAGGCCTTTCATTCATTCAGCAATAGTGTTAATTTTCAGTAGCACAACAAAAATAATCTGGACAAATAGTCCATCTCCCACCATCAGGAAGTCTGTCAAACCTACACGCATTTTGCTTCTGGAGTCCCCAGGGACAGTTAGCAGGCAGTCCTGGGAAATAACATAGTTCCAAGCAGTCCGGACAGCTCCAGCCCACATTTTCTTCCAAATGAACTGAAAGGAGGAGGAAAAATACCATCTCCAGTTGCTGCAGGCTGTTCAGCTTGAGCAGTGTGTGACTTCTGGGATGAATGCCAGAAGTAGGACTGCTGGGAGATGCTCTTTGCAGGTGTTACTGAGTCTGATGCTTCTAAAACTTGAGGCAGATGATCTTTAAGTGGGCCAGCATCATGAAAGCACAGATGACAATTTAAAGGGGAGAAAAATGCAAATAAATCTAAATGAGATTTGGAAAAAAGCTCAGCAGCAGGGAGCAGGAATGCTTGATGGACTTGCTCACACTCATGTGCCTGTAAATGGTAAATCCGATAGCACAGGTTGAAGCTGCTGCTCAATCAATATTCCTCAAAGTAGTCATCTCTTCCTTTAGTTCTCATCTCACTACCAGCTCTGGTGTAAAAACTCTAAAGCTGTCATCTGCAACACACTGGTTCTCTGGAATGCCACTTCACTATTGATCTCCTTCCTCTTTTTATCAAAGGCAGGCAGTTCTCCACAAAATGTAATCCTTCACTTAAACAAATGCAGACAGAATATATCAGGCCTAGAACAGGTAAGCAGAATTTCTAGTAACTTGTGATCATTTTGACAATGTTGCTACAGGTCATACAATTATTCTTGACTCAAGGGCTCCCCAAATCATTGTTCTCTCTTGCACAAAGAGGAATATAAGGAGTATTTGAAACAGATGATAACAGTATAGAATACACATAGTACCATCCTCCCTGAAGGGACCTTCAAGGGAGCTGAAGTAGTGATGGCAGATGACTGCCGGTGAGGGTGTTTTGTTTTCTGCAAGTTCTGGCAGGTGCAGCTGGCCTGACAAAAATCTCATGAAGGCTGGGGCTTGCCAGACCTAATAAAGATGAGTTCAGTGCCTCACAGCAATTAGCCAGCTGCTCCATGAGCAGGCCCTTGGCCTGCCTTCTGCACGCACTTGCCCCCAAGTAATTGGAATGACCACAGTGCGCACTCATCTGGGGTACAAATGGAGCCCCACTGGAGAGCTGATTTTGAGTTGGTTTTCTTGGAGCAAGCAGGCCTTGCAGCTGTGAATCCTCCCCTTGGAATGGGATGCTGTCCAAGGATATGTCCCTAGATTGAGTGAGCCTCACCCCCCCACCGTTTGGTGAGTGAATATTACTTCTGGATATATCCTTGAGCACCTCGCCCCACCTGGGATACCCTCCTGTGGGAGGTTTTCCCTTTGAGTGTTTGCACATTGTGGTTCACTTTCTAGAAAGAATAGTCCTTAAAGCATAGGAACTAGTTGTGTAGTAGTAAATTCCCAACTGACATCCAAACTTGTAATTTAATTTTGTCAGAAGTGGCGAGTAATTTTGATTACAATAAATCTGAATTTTTGGGTACCTGCTGCTGTCTGGTTTGTGGGTGCCTCTGTGACACAAGTATGGCTGTGCAAGTGGAAACCAAATGGGCTGTCCTTTCCTGTCCCTGTTCTCATAAGTGGTAAGTAAGAGCATAAGACTTCATGAAGGAGACTGGTACTAAGAATGCAGGTATAGCTCCTGCAGTCTTTTAAAAAGAGAGTCTTGTGCATAGCACATGTGGGAAACCATCCCATGATGTTCTGTCCATCCAGTTTGTGTACTTGTCCTCTTCCACTAACCATGAAGAAGAGTGCTGGGAGGAGGGGAGGGGAGGGTGTTAGGAATAGAAAATGGGTTATTTCTAGTTTTATTGATTACAGGATAATGTATTCATTCTTTTGTGAGCATGGGAGTACACAACACACAAATGTGACCAGTCCTCCTTCCAGTGGTGAAAAGGACTCTGCTTTTCTTCTCCAGTCCTTGGTCTCTTCATTTCCTCCTCTAAGGCTTAGCAGATGCACTCTGAGCAGCTTCCTCTCTCCATTGAGCTTTCTTCTCCAAGTTCATGCTGCTTAGAGATTCATGCCTTTTTACAGCCTGCAACATAATGACAAAGCAGGTGTCACCTGAAGGACCACAGAGATGAAACTTGAATCAGTAGTTCACAAAGTGTCTGGCCTGTGCTTTCCAAGGCACACTTCTGTCAGCTTTAATGCAAGGAAGAGAGCGAGTTGAAATACAACATCCAGACTATTTATTTTGTCTTGAACTTGTTACTGTTCTGGGAACAAATTAAACCCTTTTGTTAAGGCACTAGAAGATATATTCTGTACTTCTGGTCAGTATTTAACACTGATCTCTGGTCTTCAGAAGTCAGGTACTGGAAACAAATCAAAAGTTAAACAGTACATTCTAGCTGCTGTGAAAATAAGGGTCCCAGAGCAGCTGCCCTCTTCTCTTTCCAGTATTTGCTTTCATACTATTTCACTGTAAGAGGAAAACGTTCTGGGAATTGTCAGTGTTTGACCTTTCCCATTAAAGCTGGGGAAAAATCTTCCCACTTTTGTTTCAGAGTGCTGCAACCTTTTCATTGATAGGTGAGTGCTGACAGAAATGTCACCTGACACTTCAGTAGTTCACAGTGCTGGGGTTCACTCTGCTACTAGTTTTATGGGTTTTGTAGAACACTTAGTAGTCTCTAGAAACGAGATCTGAATGTTGTCATCAGAAGAACTGCTTCTGAAAAGGCAGCATACAAATAAGGTTCTGCCCATGTAGATGCTTTAAGCTCAGGGGTTTCTGCTGCCAGTCCTCCTTAAAAGGAGGATAGTAGACTGTTTCTGTTCCCACTCCTTGCTCCTTTACAGAAATACTTCAGAGTTAATAGTTCACCAACTATGTTAAAAAGCACATAAAGCCTGACTAACCTTTGCTGCTGCACTTGGAATCTTAAACTTTACACTTACTCTCTTCATATGATACAAATTAAATACTAGACCTTATTCTGCTGCACAGTGAACTCTGAGATCTTCCCAAATTCTGTGCAAGTTAAGGATGCTCAGCATCTACAGAACTTGGGAGCTTTTTTATGAAATAGATTCCAGTGCAGCAAACAATCTGAGAAAACTTGTTTCATCCACACTAAAGGAAGATGTGCCCTTTAATTACACTAGAAAATACAATTGCTGACTATCTCCTCACTGTTTAGAAGGACTTTTGAGAAATCTCAGGACTCTTTGTGGAAAAACATGCTCATTTGCTCTTTCCACTGTATTGAGTCTATGACTGTTGCAGCATGTACAGAGGCATCTGTAATAGGTCCATACCTCCACTGTGTGGACCCTGTTGGCCCAAGAAGCATTGACCTGCATACCAGAGCCTCACAACAGAAGGTTCTTTCCTTTTGAACTCTCGCAGCCCGTCAGAAAAATTAAGGAGTTAAACCAGCACAAGCTAAAATTAAGTATTGCACCAAGGGAAAAAAAGACTTGTTTTCCTTTTAAAGGAAGCATATGCAGTCTAACGGGGACATCACCCTTTTCTGACTTGGGAATTAATCAATGAGGTTCACTTCTGTGGAATTAGGACATATATTTTTAATTTTTTGCTCAGTGATAAAATGAGAAAAACCCAAACAAACAAAACAAAACCAAACCAACTAAATAACAATCCACAGGAGAAACTGAGGAGTTGATGTGAAGATTGATTTGCACTCATCAGCCAAAAATGTGTGCTTACCTGCTTCCCTTTAATTACCATGGCTATGCATCCCACTATTGTCAAGGCAATCATTACATAGCTGGTCTTTACACGCAGAGTGGTCTTTGCTGCTCTGATTGTTTCGATCCTCAAGAAATAATAATAAAAGAACAGACTCGTTATCAGAGACCCAAATAAATCATCTGGCTCATTGTTTAACTTCTAGCATGCTATCTGTGTAACTTTGTATAGTGCTAACAGTACTGGGCTCTTTTCACAAAAATGTTTTAGAAGAGCGGGACGGGCTGATCTCTGGCTACCTCAGGAGATGCCTGGTCACAAAGGCACTCCTCTCAAAGCTGGAAAGAAACCCAGCATTTTAAATTCAGTTATTTAATAATTAAGAGACAATACTACCCATCAGACCTCTTGACTGCCATGCAAAGGAGGAAGGCTGCAGTATTTAAGGATGTACATTCACTATGGAGAGGACAGTATAAAGAGAGAGGTGGTTTTACTAATGCAATGTCACTCTTAACTATCATCTTCAGTTACCTGCAAAGCCAGGGAGCACTCCATCCATATTGGAACTGTGGTGTATTTAACACTGTAAAACATGCGTTTCCCCTCAATAGTAGAAACATGGTAAAAACCATTTATCAGCAGGACTAAAATGCATAGTTTTTAACAGCTGGAGTTTCTTGGGCAGAGGGAAGCAATTCTTTCTGCCTGGACTTCAGAGTAGTTTCATTTATGATGCCATCTATTTTCCAGCAAGAAGGAAGACTGGATTTGGTAGTGCTATAAATTACACACTGGCTGCTGAATGTAACACTCTGAAATTCTGAATAGGGCTTGGTAAAAGACCAGTGGTTACCATTTCCCTCCTGCTGGAGCAGACAGTCTTAAGGTAATCCATTTTCTTAAGAAATTAAGAAGGCATGAAGGACTGTAAACTTCCAATATCAGCTTTGGACAGAAGACTCAGATTTATTCCCCCTCCCTCACGCCCCCCAGGGGTCTTATCTAGCCACACAAGTAGCTATAGTATTCCTTTGGGAAACCTGTTGCCTGGTCTGCTGTTACCTTTTAAAAAACCAGAAATGTTCTGTAAGCAGAGTATCAGTTATTAAAGCCTTCTGTTGCAGGGCGCCTCCTGGAGACAGAGGTTTCTGTTGCTTCTTTGTCCCCAGACATGGGCACGTGTCCAGAATTTTCCATCTTTCCCAGGTGCTGTTTGTCTTAGCCACCACAAGACCAATCCCCTAACACCAATTGGACCCCTGACCTGTAGGTAACCCATCTCTGTACCCTTACAGGACAATGCCTTTGTAAACCCACCTACCAACCTGTTAAAAACCCCTGGCCCCAAGGCCACATGCTCTTTCGCTTCTCCCCTGGGGTGGGTGCTGTTTCAGTGCCTGCCTCAGGTGTTTTTGTTTGTTATTTTCATGTTATCAAAACCTTTTATTTTGGAAGAAAGCGATCGTTGCCCATCCCTCCTTTACTCGCCACTGCCCTCCTCTTCGCTGACGACCACCCTGGAGGTACTACGGGGGTCCTGCTGGGGCTGTTTTCTTCCCGGGCAAAACCAGCGGGTTTAAAACCCCCGGCGAAATATATTTTAGCAAAGTTATAGCCTTCCAGCTGTGCACATGGTGAGTTAAAACCACAAAAAATTGAGTTAAACTGAAGATTATTCTACCCAGATGACATCTCTGTTACAGCAAATTTAAAGTTTATATTAGAGATACCAATGCAAAAAGGGCCAGTGAAGTGTAATGCATTTAGCTGTGCTTTCCACAATAACCAAAGGCCTACATCCTCTGTATTTAACTCTGCTGGCAGAATTTAGAGCAGCTGACTCCCTTATCAAGGAGGTCTGATCTTCTCACCAATTAAATTGGGCACATTGTAAAATTACAAATTACTAGAAAAGCATCAACATCACGTGATGACAGAATCAATGGATCAAACTAGGTAATTATATCCCCAAGCTAACATGAATAGTGGATTTAATGGAACTGGGAAATTATCACTGTACACAGGCACGAGTGACTACGGAGTCTTCTACTACATCTTGACACACTTGGAGGAAAAAAGATACCAAAGGATCCACAACAGTTCAACATGGTAAATCACACAGGACCTGAGAACTAGGTTTTGTTCTTATTTGTCAAGCAGCAGGCAAGACTGATTTGATCATTTTCCAGAGTATGGATCCGAGTTTGAGGACCATGTTGGGACCACATCCATCTGCTGTGAAACTAATAGTTACATTTAGCTTCCAGGTTATCTGTTTTTGCTAATAATCTGTGATGAACAACTTGGGTGTGAGTTGCAATTAAGCTGAAGTGCACAGGTATGGGCTTTAAAGACTTTTATTAGTTAATTTTTTAAGTAACTTAGATACTTTAGAATATACAAGAGGGAAAGTCAGTTATCTGAATGCAATTTGCATTTTAAGTCGATTCAGTAGCTAAGATTAACAGTTGTTTAACAAATGACTCACTTCTGATGACCACACCTTTCAAGATTGATCTATCGTAAGACCTTACAACCCACTCTTAATTCAGCTCAGAACAGGAAAACAAGCTCTTGTGCTTTTATAGTTCTCAATTGTCTTGTCAGCTTTGGCTGAACTATTTGTCTACATGCAAACAAGAATTCCCCAGGCGCTTGCAAAAATGGTCAGTTTTTATCAGAAGTTGGTTTGTTCTTTTAATAAACCACTGAAATAAATCACTCTAACTTTTTTCTTAAAAATAAGTGTTTGAAATGTGAACTGTCCATTTAATAAGTTTTAATAGTTTACATCTTTATGTATTTCAAATGTAGTTTTAAGAAAAATGACTTGATACAAAGTTGTATTAACTTTTAACAGTATTTATCCACTGTGAAACATTCAGAAACAAGTCACTACATGGGTGGATTTGTTTTAATTCCCATGAGGTTCATCCAAACAAACAGTATCTTTACAGGGCAGCTACATGGTTTGCTTACCCAAGTAGTACAAGATCTACTGTATCTTTTTAATTTCAATAAATACATGTGTCTAAAAGCATTATGAGCATGCTTTAAGAGGTAACTCTGTTACCACTAGGAATAGATTTTACACTAGTAGTTGTCTGTTGTTGTTAAGTTTGATCTTTGAACTAAAACATCCAGTTTTATTTTCTACTTTTCACACAGCTTTGGCATTTGGACTCCACCAGCAACAGGGGAATTCTGACTGTATTTATTGTTAGGGAGCCTTTTCACTGTTTGTGAGATTAAATTCCACGAGTAAATAAAAGTTGGTCCATGCCCTCTACACATTCATTAATAATTATTTTAAATGAGTTTCAGCTATTTTATAACTAGATCATGAAAGTTTCATGCAATGGGAGACTGACATACAAAGAAAAAAACAAATGGAAAAAGATAGTATTTACAAAAAGCTTTTTGATCAGGAAAGAAGAGTGAAAATTAACTGATCTGTGATGTTTTTCTAATGAAACAACTGATGAATGCTGGTCATCCCTTCAGAAAAAAATCAAGGGATATATTATCTCAGCAATACAGAATTGCTCAAGTCACCTCATCTACCAGACAATACACCAAACACAGCAGTGTAAGATTTTTCAGCTCTAAGAGCCCACTTCATTTAAGAAGAGTTATTCTGGAGTTGTATTCAAGTAACTTATTCCTGTGTAGACAATGTCTCTGTTACAGCTTCAAAACTGACACTTACGAGACAGTCTCTGGTATATCCTCTGGTTTTTTGAAATGGCCTGCCCACAACAAAAACTTTTTCTCCCAGTCTGTAGGCTTGTGTCCAGGCACCCTCAAACCAGACTGACCTAAAAAAAAAAACAAAACAGAACAAAACAACAAAAAGCACAAACACAAAACAGACACCAAAAACAAGTCAGAGACGTCGAATTGCCACAGCTGCAATGAGACCAGTTAGGGCAAGCAATGCAGAATTTTAAGTACTATTGCTAGAGCTGGTTAGGGAACAAAAAAAGTATCACAGTCAGATTAACAAACTTACAAAGATGGGTTAAACCCAGGCCACGTAAGGAAAGCCAAAACTTGCCCAAGATCTCCAAATCTGCAAATGTGCTCCAGCATCTGAGCTTTCTAAGGTGCTGCGATCCTGTCGTTCTCCTATTACATTTAACTTGGTTTTAAAAAAATAATAAATCAAATGAAACAGCTACAGAAAAGCCAAGGTGCTGCACTACTACATCACAGAATGTTAACTTTTCCAGGCAGTGTAAGATTGTATCTTATCTGGACCTGTAAGCAAACAGATTACCATAGGCAAAGATCAGACCCTTAGTTTTCAGCTCAGTCTTTCAAACTCCATATGAAAAATATTCAAAATGTAACAGGGGAAGGTTTCCATCCATAACATACCAATCTTCTTGTTTTTTTTCCAACAATGGGAGGTATCCTGCGTGGATGCGTGCTGCCTCACGGATTCATGAACCACCCAGCAAGTCAGGTGGGGACACAGTTTGCTGACAACACCAAGTCATTCAAAAAACATAAAGAAGAGGGCAAGCAGAGAGAGCCACAGGGCTTCTGGATCCTGAGTCAATGAGGTGGCCAGGGAGAGCCCAAGTGTATATAACCAGGAAGCAATTCCAGTTCATGCACTAACAACAGACTCTAACCCAACCATTGGTGTTAAGAAGCAAGTCCCCAGGGTTTCACAGAGGTTTCGGCAAAGTGTAACAGTCAGAAGTGGGAGCAGTGTTACCAGCAGTGGTTAGGAACAAAGGCCAACACAAAAGCCTGATTGTGCTACTGTGTGAAACTGTGACTTCAGCATTTTGAAAAGCACATGAAATACTGATCCCATTCAGAAACAGCTGAAATAGAATGGGCCCAGAGAAAACTGGGAAGGGCAACCACAGACATGGAATGGCCACCATATAAGAAACATTATAGGCTGATACCCTTTGGTCTGGAGAAGCAGTAACTGAAGCTGCCTTCAGCACAGCAGAGGGGACTGGAATACCAAGTGACGTCAGGAGTGTGGGTTATAATGAACTGGTCCTGTTTTGGAAGGGGTACTGAATGAAGGAACATCAGATTGGAAAAAGCATGCATCAGGTTCAAAACCAAACACAAGTATGTGCTTGTTTTCTCACAGCGTGGTTCAGCTGAGGAATTCCTTCTCAGAGAATGTGGATGCTAAAAATACACTCAGCTTCAAGAGACAGGACAAATTCACGAAAGAAAAATCCAGTGAGGACCGTTAAACACAAAGACACCCCCCCTGGGATGGCAGTCCAGGGCAGAAACACTGTTTGCCCTCTTCCAGTGCTCCTCCTTAGATCCTCGCCATTGGTCACCGGTCCCGTTAGACTTCACAAAAGTATAAGGGACCTCCTTTAGTGGCCACTACTGGAGACATCACACAGAGAAGGAGACTGCTGGTCTTACCCAGCACGGCTGCATCGTCTTTAGCACGGAAGTATGCAAAATGCTTCACGTGTGTATGCTCCCTGTGCCTAGCAACAGCAGGGCACGAAGGGAACGTGTTACACAGGAACCCTGAGCGAGCATCACAACCGTCCCACAGAGCAAAGAAAGTATTTCCTGGGCTGGGCTTTACCTGACCAACGCTACCCTTCATCCTGAACCAAGCCAGCTCTCAGGCTCTCTCCCGCAGGGCGTGTGAACAGCTGGAGCTGGCTGGACTATGAAAAACTGCAGACGTGGGTTAGTTCTTATGAAGTTCCTAAACATGGATAGTTTACACTGGGGCTAAACAGTCGGTTCCAGAGCACAGCTGAAAAGCCTCAACACAGGAGGGCAACGTCAGATGATGAGATACTAGTGACTTGTTAGAAAGCAAAAGCTGTGGTTTTGTCACAAGAAGAAATATTAACTCCTGGCTTTGTTAAAACCCAAGATTTTATTGGTAAATTTACTACTCAGTTTCTCAGTCTAAAGACCAGAAACCCCTCTCACCAAATTGGGCATACCAGCATCTATGTCAGCCAAATTCTTGTTCAGATGATCACAGCCTGGATATCTGAGTAGTTCATAGCATGAAACACAGTATGGACATTATCAAAAACTTACTTCTCGGCCGTAGCTGACTTTCTTCCTGGGGTCTGATGCAAAGCCTTCTGCTTATCTTCAGATCCACATCTTTAGTCACCTTCAAAATTGAGGGAATATTTCTTCCCAGCAATTTAACAGCCCTATCTGGAAAAGAAAGCAGAGGAAATAAAGGAGCCAAATCTAACTCAGAATAGTAGAAAGTGAGAATACTAGCTTTTAAATAGCTTTTTGTTTTTTTTTTTTTAAATACAAGAAAGAAAAAAAATAAGAAAGATCATAGGTACAAATTTACTATTACACAAGAAACACCAGATTTAGTTGTAACAGAGCCTACCAAAGAAATTCATCTTGTCTATAAGCTATGACTCTAGCTTGCCCATTAGTCTTATTTAGAAAAACTGGAGTGCAAGATCACAGGCTACAAGCAGTATCTAAAATGCAATGTACATCACAGCTTCGAGGAACTCGCCTATTCATACACCTCAGATACACTTTGGACAGTGCTATTTCAAGGACTGCACACCAGCATTCTACCAATTGTGACAGCCCAAAAGCAAGCCACAAACTCGACAGAGTCAAGAAAAAAGTCCAAGAAAGCAGAACCTTGCTGTACTGAGACACCTACTTTGTAGTTTAATAGAAAAAGGACAGGGCACCTTATATATGAAAGCGTAACTCTCAGGAAAGAGCTACCAAGTCATTAATTAATATAATGAAAAAACTGTGAGGGGGGAGAAAAAAATCAACTTTGAAAGGGAAAAGGGCACACTTAGAGCATACAAATTGAGTTCTTTTTCTCATCTTTATGCCGGCTGAAAACGTCTACCCTACGAGACAGCTGCCTTTTATGTTTTAGGCATACATAATCCATTCCAGCCCTGAAAGAAACCTCACATTTACTTTTGTAGGCCAACCCCTCCCGCGCCCTCGAAACTAAACCCTTCTCAAGGTCTTCAGAGAAGGGGAAAAAGGCACAAATCCGCTCCGCTCGCTGTTTTCCAAGCC